CTCTCTCTCTCTTCTCTCTCCCTTTCATTTTTTTTTTTTTTAGTGACTATTGACCTCACATTGCCAGGGAAATCTTTCTAAAGCACAGATCTGATCTCATCTCTCATCTGCTTAAAATCTGTCACCGTACTTTGTATTATACTCCACTGTACACTGGTCACTTGCCCGCCTGGCTGTCTCCCCCATCACACTTCTGGAGGGCAGGAGCTGTGTCCTGGGCACTCAAGATCCCCTGACCACCTTATCACGGGTCATCTCTTACATCTCTCTCTCTTGTTTAGTCACATTAATCTTCATTCAACCCTTCAAAAGTTTTCTCTCACTGCCGAGGCTTCTTACCTGCTGTTTTCTTTGCCTGGAACATTACCCCTTTGATGATGCTTCTAGCAGAGTCTTCATCCTCATATTAGACATCCTTCCCTGAACCCCCAGCGAGGCCAGCACCTCGGCCTCCTCCCATGTAGTCTGATAAGCCCTCGGATGGATGCCTCTAATACCATTTCACTATCATTAGGTACATTACATTATAAATAACCAAATAGCATTTGAAAAAAATAAGATCTTTATTATGCTGACTTTGCAGTGTAAAGTCTAGGGCAAAATATGATAACAGAATATAAAGATAATATTTTGTCAAATCTGAGCATTCCTTACAATGGCTTTTGTTTAGATTCCTCATTAATTATCGAATCATTGATAAGTATAGCAACTTATATTCTTCCTCCTGCTTGAATTTTATGCTGAATGATACTATTTTTTTTAGTATTTCTTAAGTATTGTAGGATTAAATTAGTTTTATTTTGGAGAAAGAGTGCTGGATAGTCAGCATTAGGAATTCTCAGAAGTTAACTGATATGACATACACTTCAGAAAAATTTGCACACAGGTTGTCAGATTTTTGATGATTCATCTTATACAAATCTGCAATGTTCGAATTTAATTTGTTAAAGATTTTTATCGAAGTTTCATTGGTAATAATTCAGATGAATCATTTGAATTTTTCTTTGGCATTTTCTATATGTAGGAGTATTCCTACATATAGAAATTCATTTGGGTTAATGGTGTTGAAAAAAGAAATACACTCGGCAAACTCGAAAGCTTTTGTTTTGTTAGGTAGTTACATATCATTTACGTAATGAAAAAGATAAACTATAATATCCTCTTCTAAAAGAAAAGAAAGTGGCTAAATATCAGACAACGATCATGCTGCTTTCAGATTTACGATTCCAAAATAATTTAAATATCATTAGACCTTTGAGAAATTTTAGTCAAAGAAAATTAAACAAACAAAAAAACATTTTAATTAACTTTTTGAATAAATACATTCACAGAAACACTGAAAAAAAGTCTCCCTTCACTCCTGTCTCTCAACAGAAAGTCCTCTCTTTGGAGGCCACCACTGCACTGTTTTTTATATATATTCTTGTGGGGATGTTTCATGCACAAATATTTATGTCATTCCACCCACCCCAGTTTACACACTAATAATCATACTATTTCTTGCTTTTTTAACCTAGAAAAATATCTTGCGGATTATTCCCTAACGGTGTGATAGAAGTCCTTTTTCATGTCTGCATAGTACTACACTGTGAACATGTACCATAAATCATCCATGCTGCTTCCCAAACCTAGACACTTAGGCTATTTGCAATCTTTTGCCACCACAGACACCACCAAAATACAGAGCAATCTTGTACAGACTTCATTTCACACAAGTGTGAGTATACCTAAAAGGTAAGTGGCTAGGAGTAAATTACCGGGCCAGAGGCATAGGCATCGGTGCTTTTGATAGATACCGTCAAATTATTCTCCAAAGAATTGGATCAATTCATCTTTCGTTTAATAAGAACTAAGGGTATGAAAAATATGATAAAGCAAACAATTTTTCACTTGTTCTTTAAGAAATAGCATTGTTCATTCTGTTTCAATACATTTCTTCAATAAAAGCATCCCTATTCTTTTGGATAGAAAGAAGCTACCGAATGCTGGAACAGTAATTTTTCCTTGCTGATGTTATCAGAGTTTTTTCTCCCAATCATTTTAGCTTAAAGTCTGGCACGCCAGTGTGAATTTTTGGATCCATTACAATAACCTAAGCATGTTACACATGTTCACAATGTAGTGTACATTACATCTTATCACATCCCTGGATATTCCTTGGAATAAACTCCCAAGAGGTATTTTTGCAGAAAAAGAACAAGATAATGATGAGGTTAAGTGTGAAAGATACCAACATCTAGACTGATATTGTTTACATCATTTGCATTTTCTCCAGTCCATTGTAATTTTGTTCTGTAAATACCATTAGAGGTTAGGAAAGTGGTCTTTAAATATTGTCACACAACCAGCAGAGCGATGTTTCTGTACATGCGATTGGAACAGAGAATCTTCTCAGTTCAAACTTTTGTATAACTTTCATCTTTTCCGCTTGGGGGTGGGAGTCCAGTGCTAAGCAGCTAGTGCGAGACTACGTTGTGACCATATCTTTAAAGAGAGTTCCATCAAAGTTGAATTCTTACATTCTGTACAATTTGAATTCTATACAAGCACAATTTAGTTTGTTGACTAATGTCTTACTAAGAAATGTGTTCTACTTAAACTTTCACCTCCCGTGGACTACCCCCATGAACTATATCAGTTGAAACAAGTTTGTTTTGCCCCTGGGACTCTCTGTTGTTTATCTGTCTAATATTGGACACCAGCTAAGGCGGCCTAAGCAGGACAGTTACAAACTGGGCTGTCATTGGCGGAAGTACAGTGCCTTGACGCTCCACCAGGTGGAGCAGTTTCACTTTAGGGCGCCCGTGAAACACGGCCTCTGACTTTGAGTGGTCAATATTCCCGGTAAAACAGAAGTGGATTGGAGCGGAGGTGTGCAGTCAGATTTCAGTTTTTAAGGTTTCAGATGAAGAACTCCCATCCTTTAGGCCATGGATTTATTATTAATCAAAGTAGAGTTTAGTATCTCTGGTCCAAACCATGGGCGGAAACAAGCCAAATCCTACCGTGAGGAGTTGAATTGTGTCCCTCATCTCTGACCCTTTCTGAAGTCATCATTGAAATCCTACCCCAGTATCTCCGAATGTGGCCTTATTTGGCGTTACAGCCTCAGTGAAGGTAGTCAAACTAAAATGAGGTCGTAAAGGCGGGCTCTAGTCCCGTATGGCTGGTGTCCTTATAAGAAGAAACTTTTGGACACAGACACACACGGAGGGCAGATGATGTGAAGATGCGCTTGCGCAAGGGGAAGACAGCCATCACGTGGAGGGGAGAAGCCTGGCACAGACTCTTCCTCACGGTCTCGGGGGGAACCAGTCCTGCTGACCTTCCCATTTCGAGCTTCTCGCCTCCAGAACTCCGAGACAATGAACATCTGTTGTTTTAGCCGCCCAGTCTGGGACTTTGTTAAGGCAGCTCGAGCAAACAAATACAGCTACCTGTCCGCATTTTGAGATGACTTAAGCAAGCTGGGGTTAAGCATTTACTGTGCTAGAGAAACATTTCTCTACAGAAGGTGATAGTTAACGTAAAAGGGGTTACAGTCTAGAGATATGTTATTGCAAGGGAATGAAGTTTAAGTGCTCATATGCCCCTTCTTATAGAAACAAGTGACATGCTGATAACGGATGATTCTAAACTGCTCGACGTACACGAATGGGGGCATCTAAAGGCTTCGTCTCATTCCACTCTGCGGCATTTTAACTGGGCGGCTGTGAGGAATGTGACTGCAGGAGGAAGCTGTTTGTGCCACGACAGGAAAAATACATACATGTATATTTTTACATGTGTCACTAGATCAGCAATATACATATATATGCAAATGTGTAAGACTGAGTTTGTATCTGGGTATAGTCGTGTGAAAAAATGTGTGTTACAAACAAAAAGATGTGTGAAGAGCTGGGTCTTCCAGAAACAAAAGGCGTGTGTGTGTGTGTGTGTGTGTGTGTGTGTGTGTGTGTGTGAGAGAGAGAGAGATGTGCTGTCTCTGGAAAGAATGTGTGAGAGACATATATATATGTGAAAAAGAGCCACATGTATGTTTAAGCATGTGTGCTCTCTGCACTTAAGGAAGCAGATAAGTGTGTAAGGAACACATCTGTGAAGCACGTGCATAGACACGTAAGGGAGAAATGTATGTGAGATGGGACTGTGTGAAGGAGAGAACAATGCGTGTGTGTGTAGGTGTATGTGTATGATTCTTTAGGAAAATGCTGGACAAAGAAATAAATGTGCCCAGGAGCCATGTCTAATTGCCCTCCTGACCCCCTGGCCTCTTCCAGAATCCTCCGCTGACTGAATGGGCTTGGAGAGCAACAGTTCCTTTGTCAGTTTCAAGTTGGCCACCAAAGTTTTTTAGTTTGGTTTCATTCTTGTCAACATTTTAAACTAGGTTGATTTCCCCTCATTTAAGAAGATATCTTGAAATTACTTTTTCAAGTTTTGGTTCAAGTTCAATAAAGACATAAAATAAGTGGGTCAGATTCAGTTCAGAAAAAAACATCTAATCATTTGTATTTGTGTGTCTTTATTTTATTTATTTATTTATTTTTAGGCGAGGCAACCCTTGGTTGACTTCACAGATTGCAAAGACCTTGCAATAAGTTTACAATACCTTATTTTTAAATTTTTTTTTACATCTATAGCACCTGGTCTTCCTAGGTGGTCTCCTATCCAAGTACTAACCAGGCCCTCCCCCGGCTTAGCTTCTGTGTTGGCGTTTAAATCAATGACTAGAAGCAGAAAGATGATTCGTTAAGCTGGAAAACAATATACAACTTTTTCATTGACTCATTTCTTGTCTAATTAATTCTTAATTGGTAGGAGTCTATGCATTTATAAAATGTACTGTAGATTTTCAAAAATAGAAATAAATGGTTTCCCCAAAGTCACTGCATTAACTAGCTCAGGACTAGCTAAGGTATAGAATGTCCACCTAAGAATTTTTCCTTAATAACACTATAGTCGCTTTGAATCTTATGTTGAGCCAAAATATATTTTTGTCTTTATTAAAAGTGACTTCCTTTTTGGCATTGGGTTTCAAGGAAAGAAATTAATTCTTGGAATGTCTTTCTTATACCAGGGGATAGTCTATACCCTAGAAACACAAATGCAGCTTCAAGAGTGTCCACTGTAGTTGTGCTTATAATCATGAAAAACTGGATCAACTGAAATATATATCAGAAGAATGTATATGAAAATTGTACCGTAGTTACACAATTGGAACATGATTTAGCAGGTAAAGGGAATAAAGTAGAGCTACATGTAGGATTAGACAGATCTTACATAGTATTGAGCAAAATAATATAAACTGGGCAACAGAGCAAAACATAAGAGTATGATAACAAACAGAAAGTTGTAAGGCTGGTGAAAACGCTACACATAGTTCATGAACACATGCATCGATAGCAACAGAATAAAAACGGATGAGAAGTTTGGGAGGATTACTGCAAGGGGCGTCGGGTGGGGAGGGGAGCATTGAGGTCAGGGAGGGCTGTCCTGGGGCTGTCACTGTATGGTGTGTGATTTATTTCCTACATGAACACTTGAAGCAAGTAGGCAAGATGTCAGGTTGACTGGTTCTTGGGTACACAGGGGCTCATGATGTCACTCTCCCTAGTTAGTGTGTGTTTCAAATATTTCATAGTAAAAGGAAATGATGGTGCCGCCAGTCAGAGTACAGGAGATCCCAGAGATTCATTCAGGCAACGTTTTCACCAAGGACCTGCTGTGCCACTTGCTGGGGGCCATACCCTCACTCAACTGAGCGTGTCCTCCGTCCTTAAGGCCACTTAAGGTCCAGGGCCACGCTGAAGGTCGTGGGGGTGAGTACAGGGTTGGAATCTGGGTACAGGGTTGGTCTCCTGAGTTTAGTTCTGGGCCTCCCCCAGGTTGCTGAAATCACAGTGGCCCATGTTTTGCTTAAAAAAAGAAAGGAAGAAGCGTCGCGTTTTCCCCTGCTGCCCGCGCTGTGCCTCCGGCCCACCTCTCACCAGGCGCCGGCGACGCTTGCAAGGCTTAGCTGAGGTTCGTTCCTTCCTTCATCCACTCGTCCTTCGGAGCAACGCTGGGGCCAGGGGAGGCTGGCCGGTCCACCCTCAGCGGCCCGTCGTTCCAGAATCTTCCTCGTCCTATGCTGACCTCAGGCAGGCCAAAGCGGGCCGCCCGCCGACCTTGGCTATGGGGGATCCGGGTGCCCCAGCCCGCGCCGTGGGAGCCCGGTCTCTGCTGGGCAGAGCGGGTCCACGGCG